AAATTTAATAAAAATCACATTCCAACGAATATTTTCGTTGAACTTTCTGTTGGAATCATTCCAACGGAAGTTATACCATTGGAATATCCGTTGGAATTTCCATTGAAATATATTACCATATGATTTTCCATTGGAATATAATAATTTTTTTGTAGTGTGTAAAGTATTTAATCTGTTTTTAAAGTAGACTTGTGTATCTTATCACATATATTTTTGTAGAATTAAATTTAATAATCCAATTCCTGAGAGTTTTTACAAGCACACATATGACATATGCCAATAAAAATAATTGTGAAAACAAAAAAAAGATCATCACTGAACCCCGTACTTATAATGCTTATATATTAATACAATAGCTATATATTTTTTACTATATGCCTTCTTTGTTGCAATTCCGATCTCATGCTTATGATATTTTTATTTTACATGTATAAATATCAAAATATGAGAATAAGAATAGAAGATGCGGCTATTGTCTCGTCCACATGAATCATTATTGTAAGGAAAACATTTCATTTACTTTAATATTTGACCGAGGCAAAAGCCACATATTATGATATTCAATAGAAAGGGTAAAACAATGATGGATTCATGTGTAAGGGCAGAAATTCTAAATATTAGAAATTTAAAAGAATATGTCATTGGTAAAGGCTAAAGTTTATTGAATGAATCAACAAAACCAAAAAGGCTCTCATACTTTAGCTGTCAACAGGGCTTTTGGGACATATCGGTCGCCATCCGTTGTTTACCGTTTGAATTTTGAACCTTAAGTGGGAAAACGCAATAAAGTACAATCAATTTTATTAATTTTATATTTTATGAAGTTTGTGTCCTCTGCAAAATTTGTAGAAACTCCGAAGACAATCAACAAGGCTCCAAAATATGGCTACCGGAGAATGGTTTGATTACTAAAAACAAATTTTATTCTACTATAGAGTATAGAGTAGAGTTACTCTGAAATCATATATTGTCTACAATCATTTGCACTATATTTTATTTACTCTATATGGAATATTTTGTCTTTATTCCTGTTATTTTACATTGATTCTTATAATGTAATTAAGAAAAATATACTTAGATTGAATACTAATTGTATTTAATATTTTTTAGTTTTTGAAAATAATGTGCATGCAGTATTAAACATTTTAATAGATTTTTTTTAGTTTGTAATAATTAACATTAATAAATTTTATCAACAACAAATTTAAAATTACATTAAATAAATTTAATTAGTTTATTTAACAAAATAAATATTTAAACACATTAATCAACATACATGTTATTTTACACGATAAAAAAGAAAAAAAAAATAGGGCACTACGCGAATATTTCTGTGCTATATGCAGCTAATGCAAATGAAGGACGAATACTAAAAGTTTTGTGCTATATGTAGCTGATGCAGATGAATGACGAATACTAAAAAACTCCTACAATAGAGCACGTTGAGCACGTATCAAAGAGAGGAGGGGATCGGGGGCACAAACATGAGGAGTAGACGGGCAGACCAGAGAAGCTCAAGGCCTTGCGCCGCGACACCTGTCACGGGGCAACCGAGGTTAGGGAAATCCTAAGCCTCACGACGCGTGTTGTAGATATTTTTACCGGAGTTAAATCAAAAGATTCAAACACCGGGTCGTGTATCAAGGAAGGTTAGCCGGATTAAATTGTACGAGTATTCAATCACAAAAGAGAAAATAATCCTAAACACTCTAATTCAATTCGTTGGTTTTTTATTATCAACTAATGACTCTTAAACAAAGCTATTCCAATCTCATAACTCAAAACACAATTCGAACAGTGATAAAGAGGCTAGGGTATCGGGGACAATCGCTTTCGGTTCTAAATACATTTATCGGACAATCGATAACTCGGTTAAAAGGACTCGACAAACTTACTCATCTAGAGGTTTTTCCTCAATAACTCTTCATAACAAGAGGATAAACATAAATGAACAATTATCTAAACAATTAACACATAGACTACATTTCCGAACAAGTCTATTCTAAACGAGCCAAGATCGATCGATTTCTTCACTCTCGGTTCTAAAATCGATTAACTAGATTGAGATGATGATCAATCATCTAACCCTAGGGTTAATACAACTTGCAAAGATTGAACAATCGACATGCACATAAATGAGAACGTACCGGAATAATTATCCCCTAACCCTAGCTAATGAATTCAGCTACTCATCACAAATTTAACATCAACATTCACATCAAACTATGCCATCAACATTATAAACAAAACGAGAAAGAGAACTTATGATTAATGTGAAATCAAATGTCGAAAACAAGAGCAATCCAAATTCGAAAGATTAATCTTGAGGTTTTCACCTTTCAAGATTGAATCCCAATCAAAACTAAGAGAAAATATGTTTTGGTACGTAGTGAAAAACAAAGTGCAAAATGTCTGAGAATGTCTAAAATCTCGCCCTAGCTCGATCTATTAACCCTCCATTTGAAAAATCCGTGAAAAACGCATCTGTTGCAAGTTAGACCTTAGCGGCGCTAACCCCTTAGAGCCGCTAACCCCCCCAGGCTGGGAGACTCTGGCCTCGTTAAGTCTCCCTAGCGGCGCTAGTCTTCATACCCTTAGCGGCGGTAACACCCTTAGCACCGCTAGGGTCTGGGCAGCCTTTATATTTTGATGTTTTTGGACTCGTGTGCTTTCGGCTAGCATCTCCCGGGTTCTGCCCGAGCTGAGAACTCGACTCCTGCATGTTTGGTCGCACGAAATGAACTTGGACGGCACAGTTCTTCTCTCATCTGAATGCTCATCATCCGGTCAGTCTAAAACCTGAAACCACCACAATCGAAAAAAACACGAAAAACAAGAAAAATAGGAAGAAAAACAAAGAAAACATTAAACACACCAAAATAACAATAAAAACACAGAAAACGATTCGGAGGACCGAAAAACCCTAAGAAACGACCTGAAACGGGGGAAAAGACAAACAAAATACTAACAAAAATGGGACAAACACCGTGACGCGTCACGAGAGCGCAGCGCCGTGACGACAATCACGGGCCAACAGAGAGAAGGGGTCCGCCAAGATTCACGCCGCGAAGCTCGTCGCATCGCGACGCCATACTGAATGGTTGCGGTTTCATGCAGTTTCCATCAATTTTATCAGTTTATTTTTCAAATTCTAGGACCTCTTGTATGTGTTTTGCTTGTGAGTTTGTAGCTTTAAGAGTGGGTAATTTTCATTTGTTATGGTTTATGCAATAAAATATAAAAAAATGCTCATTTCCGAGCACAATTTTTCGTGTCAACCAACGACCGTTTAGTGCAGGTTTTTACAAATTTACGTAGTCGATACACGATCTTCATCATTAGTGCTATCATTGAGAGAATCGATCGTGTATCATCATGATGAACAGAAAAAGAATCGACCGATTGAAAGATAGTGTACATTCAATCAACAACGATGTACAATCAACCTATCAAGTGAAAAATGAGCGGGAAATTTTTTTCATTCGCATTAATTTAATTTGATAGCCTGAAATTATACCTATATAGATGATTAATGGTCTGTGTGAAAATATTGTTTCCAAAAACAATTAATATGTTATTTTAAATGATGATTAATGGTCTATATGAAAACTCATCACGGTGTAAATTAGCCTTTTAAGCAGAATATTATTGATTCCTAGCCCAGATTCAGCCCAATAAAATAGAAACAATTTTGGCCCAATCAGCTCTAACGAATCGCATGTGTGTTGCCCAAATACTCTACCAAGTTCGTTTTACCGGGGGTGTATTTAATTAGGATTTTTAAGGACTTTTTAAGACTTTAGAAATCCTAGTGTATTCAATTTAGATTTGTTAAGACTTTTTAAAACTTTTAAAAATACTGGGGTATTCAATTGGGATTTTCAAAAGTCTTACAAAATCTTGAGGTATTTAATTTTTTTGGCATTAGGATTTATTAAGACTTTTTAAGATTTTGTGGGATTTCTAAACAAAAAACCTTATATGAAATCCCACTTAAAATCCTACCTCCGGACTTGAGATTTCATAGAATTCTTGCAAAATCTGAAAATCCTAGAAAGTCTCAAATCTCGAAAAGTCTTAAAATGTCACCTAAATTCCGAATTGATTACGCCCCCAACTAAATGGTTTCTTCTTTCATTTCTCACACTGATATACACTTTCTCAGTTAAGCTCCTTCGAATTCTGGAATTTCCACCATGAGTGTAGCCGACTGTGATCACTAACCATCGACACTTGCTCTAAATTCAAATATGAACACCACGCCGCCCTTCGCCGGAAGAAGACGTTCCCTCCGCCGTCGCGCTCCACCCCGCTCGCTCCGTATCAGCTGCCGCCACCACCACCACCACCACAACCACCCAGCGTCTACAGTACAAATGACTTTCACTGTTAGTTCATGAGTTGTTACAAAGGGAAAACGCCTGGCCATTCAAATTTAGGTAATTGAATACACCCCCCCAAGCTCTCAATTCATTGCTTGGAATATACTCTATATTGATTTGATGTTCTATTTTCGCGATTTTTCATGATATGGTTACTATGGTGATCATGACTGTTATTCTTATTTCTCATTCTCTGTGTCATGGCTGTTTAAACATGCTGCATATTATATGTGAAGCTTCAACTGGACATTAAGAAGAATTTGACATATATATTTGTATAAAAGTCTGTTATCAAAGTTAATGTAACCAGGAAAACGAAAAAAGCTGTTGTAACCAAAGTGATGAGACTGTGCGGTGTAACAGAATTTCAACTTAATGTTGGACTTCCATGTCTATTTATCAGAAAGATGCAAACTTTACCCTTTTCAGTCAGTCCAAAAGTATTATTCTTGTTTATAATCGTAACACCAGATACCTAGTGTAGCATAATATTCGTGTTAATTGATTTTTGAACTATGTGTATTGTGTTCCGGATCTAGGATTATGTGAACAATAAAAATGATTTTGTTTGGAGTTCTGATATACTCTGGAAAAAATCAGGTGTGTTCTCTCAGTGTTATGTTATTGTGGATCGTGGTCGAATGGTGTTGCTCGCTTGATGGTTCTCATAAGGACCTCTTTGCACCTCTCCTTACACCAATTTCCACTCAAGCTGTAAGCAAACTTCTTTTTCTAGGTTAATTTTCAATTATTTCTGTTCTAACTTTTGCCACTAGCTTTTTGTCAATATTCAAATGCTTTTCTGGTGAATGCTTTCAATGGATAATGCTTTGTAGTTGCATCAGTCTTCTCAAGTTCCGAATTCCAAGTTAGCCCGTTTTAGCACCAATGTAGCAAATGTTAATACATTTTCAGATGACGAAAATGTTTCAAAGTTTGCTGGAACCTGTTCCCAGATAGAGAAAAGCAACTCTGAAAGGCCGCTAAAAGAAATTCACAAAACTCCCCAAGCATACAGTTTAGGGATTGCAAATGATCGTTTGGTGAGAAGACCGAGTGTGAGCTCACATTTGGATATCCAAGGCTCTTCAGAAGTTTGGCTGCACGATATCAGACAGTTGAATTGTGTATTTCACGATTCTTTGCCATTAAGGTACGAGAAGAAGATACTTGATGAGTTATTGAGTTTATTTTCACGAACGCATGACAACACTATTCCTCTGCATGATGGCACTATTGCCGATACTTTGCGGTCCTGCACTGGTACCAATGTATCTTATTTTGTCAAACAAATTCATGCTAAAGTCATCCGTTTTGGTTTAAATACGAGCCCGCATTTTTGTAATCCTCTCATTGATTTTACCTCAAGAATGAATACGTAGATTCTGCGATACAAACTTTTAAAAATATGCTCGCAAAGGACAGTGTCACCTGGGTTGCAATAATATCGGGCCTGTCCCAAAATGGTCGTCAAGTTGAGGCTTCTGTGTCTTGTTTTTCCTTTTTTATTTAAAGGCATATTTGTTCGTGATTCCCAGTTTCTCAATAGAATTTGTACAAAAATTTTTGTGTATATTATGTGAAACGAGTAATATGCCTGTTGATGATGAGGCTTTCTTCACGTTTAGCTGACAGTGACCAAAGTGCTCAGTTACTGATGATGCATTTAACAGGTAACCATTCTTCATCTTACTGTTTGGAAGATTGAATTAATATGCGGTCAATGAATCAAAGGCAATAATCATTTTGAATGGTCATTTAAAACAAGTTTGTAGATATTTTGACAATATTTTTAGTGCATCGTGAATTTATTTTGCAGTTACCTGAATTTTGTTGCAATATTAGTTATGAATTTAGTGTTTATTAGAAAATCTCCCATTCTTTTGTTTGCCTGGCATATAAATAGACCATGGCCTTGTATGATGTGGATTTGGATCGTGTCAAAATAGATTAGTACCCTCCAATGCAATGTTGAAGTTCATGTCCAAGAATTTGTTTTAGCAATTAAATGTGTCTTACGTACAGGACATAGGCACTCATATGATAGTGCAATATCCTCAAAACTGGGGCATTCGTGTCGAGAGTTGGTCACAAAGAACTATATGTATCAGTACATGAAACCTTCACAACTGGAGTTACTTGCTCTATACAGAAAGTACAAAGTCGTGCTTTCAAATACACCACAAGTACGATTTCAATTTTCTTCGTAAACTAACAATAATAATGTGTTTTCTGTACAAGTTATGAAGTACAATTTGGATCACATTCGTGTCGAGAGTTGTTGATGGGGCTATTGTTAGTGAATTAGTTCCATCAATTTGAGGCCGGGATTTTGTTCGTGTAACTGAGTATTGGTGACTTGGAATGGTGGAAGAAGCTGAGGAATGGCAATTATCTAATGAGTAACAACCAACTATACTTCATCTTACTGTTTGGAACTTTTGGATTGGTACGTTATATTCATTTGATGATCTCAGTATGTACTCAGTTCGAAATGATGTTCAAAATCTGTTGCATTTCATATTTTTTTATTATCTTTTCCTTCTCATTTATCCATTTATTTTTATGCATACTTGAAGTTGGGTGACAGATGAAAATATTTAATTTTTCGTTTTGTTGTTTTCTTGACCATAAAGGCATAAAGCTTCGCCAAAGTAAATTTTGAGAACCGAAAGTCCTTAAAGCACGAACAACTTCAGAAATTCTTTTGCAAAGTGTAGATACTGTAGAATCCAATGTGTCTAAAATACATTTACAAGGATAAAGAGATAAATATATAGGAATCTACCTTCAAATTTATCAATCCAAGTAAAGTCAGGGTTATTATAGAATTCTCAACAACGCCTAGACCTACTGCATCAAAGAGGTAAAGAGCAACTTTACCGGAAATAATTCCTCAAAATTGCGAAAATTTCACCAAATGTCAATGGTGTATTTCTATCTTTGAACGACAGGGTGTTTGTAATCTATATATATATATATATATATATATATATATATAAAAGCAAACCGCTGAATTTTCCCGCCTAAAGTATTGTAAATGCATCTCATTAATATTTTGATCAATTTGATATAGTTTGTCTCAAAATTGTAATGAATATGATTTTCATTAAGTATGAGAGCTAAAACACTACTACTATTAGTATTTGTGAAACCAAGGAAAAAAAATAATTACACTTTATTTTTCCATGTACATCTAATACATACTCCAAGTAAATTAATTATACATATGAAGAAACTTAGAGGAAAAAGTTTACAATAGAATTTTAAAATAATAGGTACTCCAAAAATACTTCCAATACACACACACACACATACGGAAGAAACTTGGAGGAAAAATTTTTACTCTAAAACTACATTAATTACTTATAAATAAATTTGTCAATTTCTACATAGATTTCATCATAATGACAATTATTTATTATAAATAAATTTGTATATAATTATTCATTGGAAACTTGCACACTAATTCACATTTCCAAATAAATATTAAAGTTATATGGTTATTTCCAATGTAGAAACTTCAAACAACAAAATATAATTATGTGTTAAAAATACTTATTTTATAAATAATTATTTAGTGTGAAGTTGCATTCCAGTTTTCTATTATTATTTTTTTTTATCTTATTCCTTTGTGAATAACATAATTATTTGAATATGAAAAAACTATATTATTTATGACAATGCCTCAAAGTGTGCATTACATATGTCTTAATCTATCTATCTATCTATCTATCTATATACACACACATATAATAATTATATTTATGTACTAAAAAATAAATAATTGATATATAATTATGCATTGGGAACTTGCACTCTAACTCCTATGAAAATACATTTTAATATTATTTGTTAATTACTAAAAAAATAATTAAGTCAACAAAATATATTATTTACTGTAAATACTTATTTGACAAATAATTACTTCGTGTGAATTTTCATTCTAATATTTCAATAATTTTTTTATTTTCTTTCTTAATGTGTAACATAACTCTTTTGATACGAGAAAAATTATTTTTCTTAATAATTTACACACACACACACACATATATATATATAAGTTAAGTAACATGTAGAAAAAAAACCTCCGAAACTATATATATTATCTACAAATAAATTTTATCAATTTCTAACTATGATATATCATTAAAACAATGAGTATACTCATTTGTTTAAGTAAATAATTAAATTCATACATAATTATGCATTGGGACTTGCACATATTCATAGCTTTGAAATAAATTTGTGAAAGCCTACGTGGATAACTCAAACAATAAAAATAAATATTTGTACAAATGCTTAATTAAAAAATAATACAGTTATCAGTATAAATTAATTTATGTATAAATATATTATGATACTATTATAATCTAATATGGATTACAAATAATATACTTTAATAATAAAAAATATCAATGGTTTACCACATAATAAAAATAACTATGTTCATTATTGATGATATTTCTCAAATATATAAATTTCGATACAAGAATTCATTAATCTGGTTAATGACAAATTGAAAACTTACAAAATAACATTTTATATATTGTTATTTTATTTTCTAATAAATTTCTTTGAATAATAAAAATATATATATATATATATATATATAGAGAGAGAGAGAGAGAGAGAGAAAATAAAATTATATTTGTCATAATAATATAATTTATTTAACTAAAAAGGATAATTTTTTTATTAATAAAATAGTATCATCTACGGGTACTGGGGATTAACTTGCATATGAATATGAAATATATCTCGAAAATAGTGAATAACCTTTACTTGGACAAAAAGAATTATCTGAATTTAGGTTCATTTTACCAATATCAACCAAGAATATGAAAAAAAAAAATGAAAGTAAAGAAAAAAAAAAGACAACATAGAATTCGAACATGACATTAAAATTTGATTGTATTTATGGTGAAAAATACATAGATATTTAACATATGATATTCTGAAAAATTGAAAAAAAAAATTAAAAATATTAATGTACAAAAAAGAGAGTTACATGATTTCAAAGAGGTACAAATCATGTTTTTAATTGTGAAGACTGAAGATAAAATTCGTATTGGTTTTTGTGTGATTGGAGGTGATTCAAATATACAAAGTTTGCTTTATTTTGTTTATTTTTAGTTGGTATAATTTATTTTATTTTGTCAAAATCTTAAAGAGTTGGCTATCTAAACATATGTACATAAATTTTGACATCCTTTTAATTTATTTAGTGGTCTACAATTATGTAACTATAATTCCTGAAAATAAAAGTATAACACATTAATTTATTGTTATATATATATATATATATATATATATATATATATATATATATATTGTTTTCATAAGAGTGATGAGAATATATCGTCTTTTATCAAAATATTGCGACAAGAATATACTACAAACGCAACAACTATTTTCTTGTTAATCGTATATCACAAGTTTTAGTTTTATTTTTTATTGTTTTAGAGTTATATACTATAATTTAAATATGTTATTCTTATTATTTTACAAGAATTCTATCAACATGTATTTAATAAGTTAAATCATAATTCTCATAAATTTAATGCAAAATAAACGTTGGCTATTGATATAAGCATTGACAGTGATAATATTGATTGTTACCTTAATATAAGCTAAGATTATAAAGAAACAAAAATCTTGAAAGTATATAATAAAATAATAACTTGATATATATACACATTATATTTATATATTATTACTTTTAGATATACATTTACTTTCACAGTTTATATATAAAATAAAAATTAGATGATTTAGTGATTGAACATGGATCGAAATTTAGTTGCATTTACGGGTAAAAAAATGACTAATATTGCAGAATAATATTGTGAAGGATAAAAAATTAAGAAATGATAACAAAAAGAGTGAGAAAGTTTCAACCATAAGAAAGAGAAAGAGTAACAATATGATTTTGACCACGGAGACTGAATAAGACAATACATATTTATCATCCAATTATTTAATTAAATTTTTGTTATATATGAGGTCTTTTATATTGGTTTTTGTCCCAATTGATTGAATAGTTTGAGCCCATAGTTTGTTTCATTTATTTTATTTTTAGTTGATATCATTTGTTTCATATAGGCCTAAAGGTCATCCAAAAGTTTGTGACTGAAGTGACTGCACATATTTTTATTTTGTTTATTGATCCACAAATAAAACTCTATTTTTTTATGAATATAAATAACATATTTTGTTAATTATTGTTAATTTTTTATTATTATAACTCATGTTTCTTTTTCTTAAGAGAATGACAAGAATATATTACTGCTACTAAATTGTTGCAATAAACAAATTTAATGCATCGACTACTCTTTTCTTATCTTATATAATAAATATTCGTTTTATCAAAATGAATTTTACTCTTTTTATAATTTATATAATACAATTTAAATGTATTTTTTTATTAATATACATTTTTAAAAATTATAGGCATGTTTGTAACTTTACAAAAAGTGATTTATCTTGCACATCATTATGATTAGGGCTGTTATCGAACCGAACCGAACCGAGCTTAAGGTGTTCGAGCTCGAGTTCGATTAATTTTCGAACATCTTCGTGTTCGTTCGATTAGTAAACGAACAAAAAATTTTGTTCGTGTTCGTTCGTTTATTAGTTCGACACATTCGTGTTTGTT